CAAGAACAAGCGCGGCCTGAGGTAGGGGGAGAGGTCATCACGGCGGGGCTTCGGGGGGGATTGCTGGTTATAAACGGTGCGGCGCGTCGGGAGAGCAAAGCGGTAACGTTTCTTTGGGATCGAGGGGAGCTTTTTCTCCTAGGAACTTGGAAAGCGCTCGGAGGACCCTTCGGGCCTTTAGCAACTTTTGGGTCCTTATTCCGTTTGGCTCCTCCTGCGTGGCACGGATAACAGAGCTACGGAAATTTTTACATTCTGCCCAGGAAAAACAGACACGTTTCAGGTTGAGCTGCCTACTAATACACCTAGGGCACAGTAATGCTCATTTCTTTTTTTCCCCTTTAGATAAAGTGTTAAAATGAACTTATTTGGGGGATGCAAACCATAACAAATAGTCTAATAATTACCTTTTTCGAAAAGCGCTGTAATAATTTGTTTGTGTTATCATAGCTAACTTGTGTGTCTGGAAAAACACTTTTTTTTTTGTTTTTTTAAAAAACACTTCTGTAAAGTTTATGGCTTGTCCTGCCTAGGGACCTGAGGAGGACCAGGAGTCTGAGTCGGAACTAACTGTAACTGAGCTGAAGGCACTGCGCAAGCAGCAGCAAGCAAAACTAGAAAAGACAATGTTGGGGGAGGACTCTGATGAGGAAGATGAAAAAGAGGAGAAGAGAAATGAGACCAGTCAGAACAGTGATATGAGCTGCTCATGGGGAATGGGTAAGCGACGATGCATCTCCATATAGATGTGAATACCAGGGTTGGAATTCCACCCGAATGCTAGGTGTCCAAATCCAATGGAAGGCTTCTAGTACAAAGTAGTCCCTGTCCTTTTAAAAAGAGCAGGCAAACTTATATCAGACAAGAACCGTTCTAGAACTCTTCAAATTAGCGAAAAGGTAGTTTGGCTACAACTCAACAAGGATATGAAACTAAGAGTTGAAATTTATGCTGTATATTGTGTTTCTGCAGCGTGACATATTTTTCCCTGGAAATTTAATTAAGATAAGCTGTAATTATTGAGCTTTGGAGTGCAAAATGAGCCGCTTTTTTAAACAGAAGTGCATAAATACACAAAACCTCTAAAGTGATGAAATTACAGTAAAGTTCACCTGCAAAATTATGTCTTATTATGGAGTAATTAATAATAAAATAAAAAGATTGGATGCAGAATCAATATTCACATTAAGGAAACTTATTCTAGAATGGCAGAGCTGGTATTTCTCTCAAGCTAACAAAGGCTGGAATATGCTGGAATCCTCTTTCCAATGTTTTCTCCATTTTGTTTGCAATTCTTATGCCTCCTTCCAGGAGAGGATGCTGAGGAGGATGAGGCTGAAGAAAACCCTATTGCTATTGAATTTCAGGATGCCCAAGATGCCTTCTATATGAAAGATCCTAGGAAGGCCCTACAGGGCTTTTTCGACAGAGAAGGTAACGTTTTGTTTTGTTTGTTCTTTATTGTTTTTTTTTCTTTCTCCATTTAGGAATGTCTGGACTTCGTGTTCTTGTTTTACTTTAGGACTTACAGTGTGGGAGCTAGAGCTTTTCTGTTACATTACCCTTCTCCCCCCACCCCTTAACTCGCCATTGTAGAGCAGAGTTCCTACTTTTTATATTGGGAGTTGCAGAGTACACCTTGCATTCCTCTGGAGTGGCACTCAAACCACTTTAATCGTTTGAAGCCCTATTTGAGAAATCCAAAACAATCAAATTCCAGACCATTCTGTTTGGGGATAACTATGACTGTAAGACGGAACTGGAAAGCATTAAAAGGCAAGTAGTAATAATGAATTGGTTTAAACTTTCAATGGTTGCTAGTGAAGCTTGCAGATGACTTGAGTATTTGCTAAAGAGAAAAATAAATTAATCCTCAACATCAACCATATTTGTGACTCTAGATTGTAAACGGTTACTACTTCAGTAAGATTTACTTTAATACATGCGGACGCAAGGTTGTTGTCTCTGTGAACTATGTCTTTCTGAACAGGTCACTTAAAGGTGAAAGAGTATTTTAGAAATCTCTGACACAGAGCCTTGATCGTGGGGAAAAACAACAAAATGAGCGTAATACCATCTGAAAATCGTTTTTGCTAAGAAAAACAAATTCAGTCCCTTGATATGGGCATCTTAATTCTTTTGTTTAACAGTAACGCTCTCTTCTACTCTAAATCTTGTTCCTGCTTATTGCAGTTTAGGTGACTACATCAACTTTCTTTCTTTTCCTCTCTAGGAGAAGAGTTAGAGTATGAATATGATGATCGTGGGCACAATAGCTGGCTATGCAGAGTCAAGTACGTTTACCTTCATTAATGTTAGGTACATAGAGGTCAGCTTTGTTTAATAATTCCTTCAGCTTTTGTTTGTGAATTTGTCTGTTTCACTTGCCAAGAAGGCCAGTTGGAATTAGGCCTAAGCCCTGATTCTGAGTAAGGAGGCCAAGGATCACTGGCTGTTTCAGTGTTTGCGCTTCTTTCTTGTCTGTCAGCGTTTGGTGTTCCTTAGTGATGAAAACCAGGAAAGTAAGAGACAAGGTTTTCTCGGAGAGAGGGAGAGGGAAAACAAAGACGAGAGTTTTTATTCTGCTGTGTACTCGATTCCTGTTCTTAGATAGCATAAGGCAATTTTTGATGTGTTCCTGCAAGAGGCCACTAAAATCAATCTATCGCTGGGTAGGTATCAACTCAAATAGATAGGTCTCTGCGTAATGAACATACTGCTTCAAGAAATCTTTGCTTCAGCATGGCATAAAATATTCAGTGTTGATGCTGCACAGACAGAAACTCTTGGTGCTTAAAATGATTCGGGGATTGAAGTTTGACCTATTAACTTGCTGCATTTTTAGAGGAATGATTTGGGAATGGATGTAGGAAGACTTATTGTTCAGGCCAGTGGAATGGAAATTTGCTTACGTGTTTTGAGAAATCTGTGTTTGTGTTTTGATTAGTCCTATATGAAATGAAAGGTGAAAATATGTAACCTGGAAAAAAGGCTAGAGTGAGATAGAAAAAACAATATCAGCATAACAAATACAGTATCTGAGTAGTATCCTTGAAAAGCTGTTCAAATTGAAGCTGTTCTCTGAACCTTTGAACTGAACAGATTGCCTGTGGATGATGCATCAGGGAAGCAGTTAGTGGCAGAGGCTCTCCATACAGGAAAGAAGAAAGAAGCAATGATACAGTGTGCGCTGGAAGCCTGCAGGCTACTGGATGCTAGAGGAGTACTGCGGCAAGAAGCAGGTGATTAACCAGTCAAATGCTTTGATAGTTCTAGAAGGCCTAAGCTAGTGGTCTGGGATTGCTATTTTGAATCTATTTTATTTCTCAGTGGTCTGAGAAATCATTTTATTCCTTGCATTCCTTCTCACCTTTCCCAGTATCCCGAAAAAGGAAATCAAAGAACTGGGAAGATGAGGACTTTTATGACAGTGATGATGACACCTTCCTTGATCGAACTGGCGCCGTAGAAAAGAAACGACTCAACAGAATGAAAAAAGCTGGTAAAATAGAGGAAAAACCAGACACTTATGACACTCTGGTAAGAAGAGCTATTATGGCATGCCAGGCTTATTCTCTCATGTGCACATTACTGCTAAGAAGGAAAGCTCTTTTTATTAGCCTAGTATCATTTCAGATCTTCAGCTATCAATTGGTCAAGTTAGAATGGAATCAGACTAGATTTGGAGATTTTAGAATCAGAGACTTTAAGCTTTTGAGAAGAAAAAATGGGATATAGAAGAAACTGTAGACAGTTTTTTTTCTTCTTAAGTGATTTGTTATTTCCGTTCAGTGCTTAGTGTTAGCTTCACAGAAACTATCATTCTGCCTGCTGCCCGTTGACACACATCCATTTCCTTAAGCAAAGAGGATGACAGGCCATGGAGAATGAACTACCATGTTACCAAGAGCTGTCGTTGCTTAGGACTCAGTCATCCTGCAGAAGAAGCAGCCTACAGCTGCTTATGTTGTCCCTTTGGAAAAGGAGGTTTCAGCCCTTGAGCCTCTGTCACCAGATACAAGCCTTAAACGGACATAAACTAGAGGAGGCAAGAGAACTTTGTAACTCTGAAAAGTGCTTTTTGCTTTGTGGGCAATATCTATCAAATATCTGAAAAGGTTACTTACTTTATTATAGTGGAAGCATGCTTCCTTGGGTTTTGCCTGTGTAGTATGGTCTTTTGCTTGATGGATCACAACAGTGGATGAATTAGGTACCAGAACAAGACACTTCTAAAACAATTTTAAAGCATCAGAAAACAATTGCAAGCTTTCAAGTGTGCAAAGCACACTCTGAAGAAGGATCTCATCCTGCTCCAAAGAATAAGCAGCCTGGACTGACTGGGGTTTGACAGCTAAGAGCCCTACAGACAATAGGGTATGGAGAAATTTTTGAGGGTGAGTGGAAATCAGAGTGGTGGTCTAACATAGCTACAGAAGCATTATATTTATTTTTATCCTTCAGGAAGAAAAACGTGCTTATTATGTGAAAGGACTGATAAATTGTTCAGGAATAATCTAGCCTATAAATTTTTTAGCCCAGAAACTCCTGGTCAAAGATCAGAAATAGAAAAATGTAGATAATACGGCAGCATACTTGAGAATCTTTTATAAGAGGAATTTAAAGAAGATGAAAAGATCTTCTAAGCATGTGGTTCTTTCATAGGTCACAAAATTAAATGAAGCTGAAAATGAGCTTTCTGAGATAACAGAGAAGCTGAAGGCTTCAGGGAAAGGTAAGGCGTGAAGTCTCTTTGATTGTGATGCTGTTTGTAAAGAACACTAGAGAGCATTTACGGATATCTGTCTTAAATGCATGTTTTTAGTGTCCCCTTTTCTCAAAGGCATAGGGGGATACTTAATGCTATATATTGGGTGAAGAGTGTATGCACTCTGTGTATAGTCACTTGCTAATGAATGCAAGTTTTTCCAAAAGCATACAACATCAAAGTTAAGGAGGAGAGTACAAGCTCCTGGAGCATAACAGGAGCTAAATACGTATTATTTGTCTGTCCATTTTAGTGAAGCCAGTCCAGTTTGAAAAACCTATTTTTTCCTTTCCCTCTAAAGCTATTTGTAAGGGCAGAGCAAACAACTGACCGAATAAAGGCAATGTCTTTTATTCCATTCTTTCACTGCAGATGCATCTTAAAAAGAAAAGGTGGGAAAAGAGAAATGTAGAGTTCAAGTTGATGCTTAGACACCTGCCTTGTTCAGTGAACTTGCTAACTTAAAAGGGTGCTGTTCAGACTCTACCGCTGTATGTTTATGCATGAAAGCAGAGCCCTTCCAAAGCGGGGAATGAAGAGTGGACTGGAGATCCCTCCCCCATGCCCCCGACACAGCTGGAATTATGAAAATGAGTATTCTCCACAAAGATGGTGTTGTAAGGCAAGGTTTCTGAGTTTGCTTGCTCTCGATAAGGCGTTGTGAGCATTAGGGTTCTACTTTCAGGTCTGCATGTAGAACAAAACCATAGATGGATTCCAATACCTTGGGTGCGCCCAGCAGCGAGCCCTTTCTGTTTCATAAAGGTGACCCAAAGCATAATCACTTGAATGCTTGCACCCATCCTACTTTGGTTAGCATGATCATAATCATAACTGAAATATTAGAGTAAAAAGAGTACTCTTCCCTGTTTCCATTTGCTTCTGGCAGCTCTTCAGTACCCTTACGCAGCTCAGATGATGTCAGGGGCGTGTTCTGATGCACTGTATTGATAAGGAGAGGAAAACAAAAGATGTTTGTCCCTTAGCTTTGCAGTGAGGAGTTTGCCACAGATATCTACGTGATCTGAAGAAATAACGTTAAGCTTGTCTTCAAGCAGGAAACTAGACCTGGTAATCTCATGGTGCTCCTTTTTAGTGCTAAGATTGCTTCTCATCATAGGATCTTAAAAATGGCATGAAAAGGCAGCAGAAATCTCTGTTTTCTGGCATGGCTCTTGTTTGCATCTTTTTGCAACAGGGATTTAGGATCAGGGATTTAGGAAAAAATATTGATATTCTACCCCCCCCCCCCCAAAAAAAAAAAAAAGGGGGGGGGGGGGAAGGTAAAAAATATAAGGAGGTTGAAAGCTTATGAATAATGGAATGGATTTCAGAAACATTCAAATATAGTGTTCTTGTATGTCTCTGGTAGTGACAGGTTTAAAGGTGTACTACACAGAGCTGCATGTCGCCTTATATTATTTATGTTGTCTTGTGGGGTAAAAGGAAGGCCTGAAGGAAATACATTTAAGTTGATTCTTCATACAAGAAGCTTTTTAACAGAGCTGGCAGTAATAAAGGTGGCAATGTCAGTTTGTCAGAAGGGCTTCTCCCCAAGCTGCCTAGCAGCAATCAGACAGCTGTGCTCTCTTGTGTACATTATATGGGTACGTTTCGTTCTGGTAATTCAACCCCATGCCAAAACTCATTAGGATCAACATTTTTGTTGATGATTGATGGCTGTTCAGGAAACCTTACTGATCCACTGAGCGTCCTAACTGATAAGATGGTTCAGCATCATTGAAGGAATTGTTTTCAGTCTGACTTTACTGATAAGTAGCTCCTGATTAGCTAGGACGAAAAAATGCTTTATATTGACTGAGATATGTAATTCCAAGCTCTTGTGTTATGAAGCATTTGTTTATGCTGGTACAATTTCTCAACAAGACTGTTAAATTATATTGTAGTAGAGAGTGGCAGAAGGAAGAAGCAGGTCATTCATCAGAAATTTATACTGCTGGTAGAAGTCTGGTAGCTTATCACAGTTTGGTAAGTTGTAACTGGTTATACAGCTAGTTTAGAGCACGGGAAAAATTGCAGTCTCAGCATTTATTGCTGGGCCCAGCAGTCTGCAAGGTGTTGCAATACAGAGTGATTCGTTATTGAATGGCAATTTCCTAAAAGTGGGCCAGGATAAACCGTAGTAAGTATTGCATCATCAGTTTTTAGTTGGTTATATGTGTTCTGGATGTTCTTGTTTTCTCTGATTTCTTTAGGTGGCTCAGGTTAATCTCAGATGTGGGCTGTAGCTGTAATCCAGGAGCATACATATTGATCCTGGGTTCTCTTGAGCTGTCTGGCAAAGTTGCTGCATTACATAAAGTTCTAAAACCTTAAAACACTTTGGTCTGCTCTAAATGATTATTTGCAGCCAAAGAGCAAGTGTATAGAGAGACCAACGAGTGAATGACAGGCTAAATTGCAACATCTCTTACCAAGCATTTGGAGAGATTAAGTTGTTGTCAGAAAGATCTCTGCGGAAATTTTACAAATTGTTCTCTGGAGTTCTTCAGAACTAACTACTGATCTAACTTGATCTGTCTTCAGAAGTAACTTGATATTCGCTGGTGGTCGTTCACTGGTGCAACTGAATGAAAATCAAATACATAGAGCTCTTCAGTCTTGTTTTTTAGTTATCCTTTCAGAGGAAAATTATTGATAAGTTGATATTGCAGTAAATAGCCTTATACCTCCCCCCCCCGCCACTCCCCCCTGGAATGTAAAATATAATAGCCATGATTGATTTGCCTCCTAGCAATGTTTAATTTTACTTAAATAGCATAGAAAACTGCTGCAACAGATACTGAATGCTAATAATAATCCTGTAAGCAAAACTACCTGATCTTGGGCACTGTTGGTTCCTCAGGTAGGAATCGAGCAGAGAAACCCATTTGCGAGACGGGTGATCCGACTTGCTGAAGATCAGTCAGAGAAGGACCTCTTACACTGTTCTGTGGCTAAAGCAGCGAGCTCTGGAACAGCACCTTTAAATGTTCTGAATTGTCTGACCAGACAAGAAACCTGGGCTGTGAACATTAGTGTTTAAATGTTATGAATCATTCTCCTCAGCTGCTGCCTCGTAGGAGTTTCAGACTGTTCAGTAACAATACCTTTTCACTAATCATTTTTTGTCTCAGTTCACACAAATGCTTAAGAGGAAAAGAGTGTTTCTGGCTGAATTTCTAAGATGGCATGTTATGTCATCGTTTTTATTTGGGTGGAGGTAGGTAGTGCAACTGGTTCTTATTTTACAGAGCCCATCAATTCTGTAAATCTGTGAGCGGTTACTATTATGGCTTTCATATGTTTGCAAATTGTAAACTGTATTTTGTTCTAGATCAGAAATATTCATTTTAATGGAGTCCTTCTGTAAACATTGACCTTATTAGAATTTTTTGTAGATGCGTAAAAGTCATGTATAATTGCTTAAACAGGTACTCTTAATTACTTTCTTTGTACACATTTAAAATGTGAAGTACAACCTAAATAATTAAGGCTGAACTAAAAATAAATCATTGATCATGTAATTATTCCTGTGAATATATAGATACACGCATATAATGATGCAAGTAAATATTGGGTTTGCCCATTTTAGTACAATAGTAAGAGGCACAAAACTATTGACTGTCAAAAGGCTTGTTAAAATTCCTGCAGCAAAACTTTCTTCTTCGTTTGTCTCCCAATTTTCTTTGTTGAACAGAATATAAACATTTCTGAAGCACTGTTAAAGCCCAAAAAAGGATTTTTTTCTGATATTTTGAAATCTATGTGTTAGAATTCTGTATTTATTTTTTAGTCATTAGAGCTTTAGTTTTTCTTCCTTAATTTTAGTTAGTCAAGACTGCATAAAGTTATTAATATGTGAAAACAGGTGGAGTACAAAGACTGTCATTATTTTTTGAACTATGTAACAGTATTTTCTCATTAGAAAATCACATCAGAGCAAAAATAAATTTTGTGTGATTCTTTTAACAGATAAAACTATCCTTATACACATGGCAGAATCATGAGCTGATTCATTTTTCTAGAACTACAGGAAGAAGCCAGGGAATTTTTTTTTTTTTAACAGGCAGAAGATACTGAAGTAAGATAAATAACCCAGAACAGAGACTGACTTACTCATAAAGAAACATTCGATTTTAAAGAGAAGCTTTGTTATCTAAGTGAATTAACGTTTACTGTCAGGCTTCTGTTAGGAGCCATGCTTTCATCTTTTCAGGGCTGACAGCCTCTATTATTTTACCATTCAACAAAAACTTGCAGAGAAGCTAAAGACTCATAAAGCCTGTATTCTCTAAAGGTAGGATTTGATGAGTATGACCCTCATCTTTCCACCAATAATCATATATTATATTTTCCTGTTATCTCACGTAGTCCAGTCCCAGCCAGCAACTCAAGATTCCTTGGATGAATTCATGACAGAAATAAAATCTGGATGCACCTTAGACAGCGTTACACGAAAGAAACTTCACTTGCGCTCTTTTGAACTGAAGAAAGAGCAACAGAGGCTGAAAGGGTTAATAAAGCTTGTTAAGCCTGCAGAACTACCTGAGCTGAAGCCCCAGTAAGTAATGGTAAACTGCCAAATAACTGTTACTGTATACTATCCATGGGCAATTGTGCAATCCCAGGTTTCCGAAAGCAACAGAGACGCTGTCTTACAAACTACCTAGCGTGTCTCTTTAAAGAGCCTCGGTACCTTTTGGCTGTTGCTGTGCCTATGGTTGAGGCAGACACGCAACAGTATGAGAGGCCCATACTGAGGAAGTGAGAAGGGAAGGGAGCTGAGAGCGCAGTGTCTTGTTACTGAACCTGCATCCGAAAGAAAATGGAGAATGGAGAATTTTACAGTACTATGTATAAAATGAAAACCACTCTCACACCCTAAAGTGCACCTGGAAGTCAATTGTAGTGTCTGTTCAAGTACTGCCTAGCAACACTGCTTCAATTCAAGAGGGCATATGCTGGTTTCATCATTTGCTAGTAGCAGCTTAATTAGAGATTTAATTAATTTACTTAAATTGAGGTTTGGCCTCTGAGTGTGCCTTTATATTTTTGTTTTTTATTTTGTTATATATAATATATATATTGTATGTATATAAAGTGTGTGTGTGTGAAAGCACACACACACACACACACACACGTATGTAAGTATGTGTGCGTTAATTAATTTGAGGAAGTCTGTTTGATAGATGTTCCTATGCTGGCAGGTGTCTGACACCTAGGAGTCATCTCCTGCAACTTCCTGTTGTATTCTGCAACTGAGAGGGATAAAAGGGTTTCTCTGGATTCACCCTTATTTTGCAGATATTTTCCATTTGTAAATAGAAGTTTTATTTCATAGTTGGTATACTGTTTTCCTCTGTATCTGGTTTTTATTAGGTGTGCGAGTTACAATTTGGACGCAGAGAACAAACCTAAAAAGATTACCCTGCCTCTCTTTGGTGCAATGAAAGGGGGGAGCAAATTCAAGCTGAAAACTGGAAGCTTGGGGGTAAGTTGGGCACAGAGACCAGTTATAGTGTGGGTTTGGTTTTCCTTCCTTATCAGTGCTGTGATTCAGACACTGTTTCTCAGCCATCTTCTTAGGTTCTGGAGCCTGCAGGTGGCAACACCATCTCACGTGTGGAAACAGCATGGAGGAACAAATGTCAAGGAGTGGAAGCTGCACAGAGCAGCAAGCGATGGCTGTTGGACAGGGTGTGCTGCCAGCAATAGCCATTCTGTGCCCTTGTCCAGTCTTTTGGCGCACAGCCACAGCCAGAAAGGCAGTGGATCATATAGATGCAATCTGGGGACTTCAGACCAAAAACCTTCTATACATCAGCAGCTATACCTTCGCTCTTTTGTTTTTCTCAGTCTTTTAGCTAAGATCGTATCCAAGGTTGACTCAGTTTCCAGTGTCCCTCTTATCAAAAGACTGTCCTGCTCTTCTGTGGACTGCACATCTCTTCTCGTCTCTCTCTGCCAATGACTCTTTCTTAAAACCTAACTGTTCTTCATCCTGAGAGCATTTCCTTACCAGCTGTCTCTGTGACAGTAACGTGCATACTTTCTGCAGTAATGAACATCTGTAACACCTACCTCTGTATTATGCTAGCACTGACGCCCAAGTTTTTGTCCTGCAGAAGTTACCTGTCAAGCGTCCAGATATCCCTGAAAGCTTGTTAAAAATGAAAGATGATGGACCAGAGGAGGAGGAGGAAGAAGAGGAGGAAGAAATGGAAGAGGAGCAAGAAATAGATGCAATAAACAGTAGAGCATCAAACCTAGAAATGAAAATGACAGCAGAGGAAGAAACAGGAAAAGAGACTGATGTCCCTGCTTGTTCTCCTGGCAAGATCGAGAATCTGGAATCCCTTCAGGATGGTAAACCATGGATTTTGGTTTTTCTAGTAATGAAACTGAATCTGTCAGTTAATTTCCATAGCTATGTGAAACTCCTAAGGTTTGGGTCACAAGTTTCCAGCAGTGTATCACCATAGATTTCTTTTTCATAGATTTTTGCTACAAGTTCAGAGTTTGTATGCTAGCAGCTGAGAAACAGCTGACTTTGACCTAGTTCAAGTCAGAACTCTGCTTAGCAGCCTGTTTCTCCTGCTTTTGGTGGAACAGAACTAATCTCCTGAAAGGTCAAGAAAGGTCATATGTTGGTAAGCCCTGCTTACATTAGATTGAGTGGCCATATGATAACAAATACAGTGTGTTGTTGGCAGGGAGAGTGGCTTAATTAGAAAGTAAATGTCTGTGTAAAGCTTCAGATCAGTTTGTAAAGAAAAACAATTTTAAATGTAGCACGGGAGAGGTATTGCATCTGTACAGCTTACTTGTAGTTCATCCTTTTACATAGCAGTGTGATGTATGTGAAAACTCAGTAATGATGAGTCTCAGTAAATGACATGTTTAACAGAAACCTAATTCTAGCTGCTTGTGTTAATGCTGACCAAGTTCCTCTTGAAACGTATGTTTTAACTAGTCACAAGCTTTTAATGTTATTGTGATGAACTTGATAGCTGAAATAATTTGGAGGACTTTTAAGAGAAAATTCCTCTCTGAGATGAAAGTAGCTAGATGTTCCCTTTCATACTTTGTCTCAGGAATTCTACTCATCAGTGTTACTGAGAGT